TAAATGATTTGGTGTCAAATTTAAAATTTAATTTGGCAACCTTGATTTTTAAATTCAAACGTCAAACTTTTATAGACAACTGTCATTTATTTGCGCCGGCTACTACATTAACAAATTTAAAAGGATTACTACTAATTCAGGGTTGCCAATAGATTTTTTGTCACCCGGTATTTCGCAAAATTTAATTAAAAACTAGCCAAAAAATCATAGAATTAGACTAAATTGAATTTTTTGAGCGTTTAAACACGTTTTTTAAGCAGATTTGCGACATGAATCTTCGTCAGTATTAAAAAAAATTAAATCATTTAAAGTACGTATAAAACTGGTAACTTTTCAGCTTAGATCTGGTGAATTTAATAGTTTTCAGATGGCAACACTCTATAAAAGATTGACGTTTAATTTTGACAGTCAAAGTTGTCAAACTAAAATTTCAAATTTGATACCAACTTGAAAGAAAAAAAATGTGGGTTTTAGGCGAAACACTCCCTGTATCTCGGGTCACAAACTTTGTAAAAATAATTTTTCTAGTGACGTTGTGCGTCTAGAACGGCCCGATTTGGAATCACAAAGAACAGAATTGATTATACGAATCAATAACGACAAAACCCAATTACAATTAATCGAAGATAAAATTTTGAAATTGTTGTATCAATCCGAGGGTAACATTTTAGACGATGAAGAACTAATTGAGACTCTAAATGAGAGCAAAGTAAACGATTTAGTCTCCCAAAAACGCAATTTCTTTTCTCTCAATTTCAGGAAACTTCAGCTGTGATTGCAGCCCGTCTTTTGGAAACCGAATCAACCGAACGCAAAATTTCAGAAGCACGTGAAAATTACCGAACTGTTTCAGTCCGTGGTTCAGTTCTTTATTTCGTCATTGCTCAATTAGCTGAAATTGATCCGATGTATCAATACTCGTTGAAATATTTCAAACAAATTTTCAACACTGTYATTGAGACTAGTGAGAAAAGTGCTGATCTTAAACAACGACTTGTGATTTTATTACGCGAAATAACGGCATTTGTTTATACGAATGTGTCACGTGGTTTGTTTGAYAGACACAAAWTGGTTTATAGTTTTATGCTTTGTGTTGCGATTTATCAGGAGAAGGGGGAAATCAGTGATAATCAGTGGAATTTTTTGCTTCGGGGCCCCGTGGGGGCTAAAATCGAGTTGCCCCCAAAGCCGGATTATGCGCTAATCACCGATGCAATGTGGCTTTCGGCGAATTTTCTCGCTGTTAGTATTCCAGGTTTTGAGAAATTACCCGAGGAAATTACCAATGTGATCAGTGTTAGTATTTCGGATTTTCGTCACGATATTTCAGTGGTGCCAAATGCGCGAGCTAGTGGCCTGAAATGGAACCAGATTTTGGACGATTTCAACAAATTATTGCTCCTGAAAACGCTGAAAGAGGAGAAGTTGGTGTTTGCCATCACCGAATATGTCAAAATTAAACTGGGGAAGCAGTTTATTGAAAGTCCACAAGTGTCGCTTCAAGTTTTGTAATAATTTCAGTTTTATGAAAATTTGATAAAAATTTTGTTGATAGGTCTCAGGATACGTCAAATATCACTCCTTTGGTGTTTATTTTGAGCACCGGTTCGGATCCTTTTGGGTCGTTTCAGCGTTTTGCCGACGAAATGGGTTTTCGTGAAAGGATCAAATCGATTTCGCTGGGACAAGGACAAGGACCTGTRGCTGAAAAAATCATCGAATTGGGATTAGAACGTGGCGATTGGGTTTTTCTCCAAGTAAGAAACATTTTTAAATTTTTATTTATAGTAGATTTTAATGAAATTGGCATAATGGGAATTTCATATTTAAGTTTGTAGCCCTGGTGTAACAGCAAATAGGATTTTTTGTTTTTCTGACTGACTAAAGTTGCCAGGATTGGTGAAATTTCACCATATCTGATGATTTTTATGCTAATCTAGTAATTTGGTGAAATTTTTATTTTTTAAATTATTCTTTAATGGTGTATTTAGTAAAATTAACTTTTTTGCGCAAATATCAAGATCCAAAATTTATTTTTTTAATTATTTGAAAAATAATGAGACTTTTTTGTTTTTTTGAGCATTTTGTAAGTTTTTTTAACTAGAAACGCAATTATTTTACCAAATTTTCTCAAAAATAAGTCGAAAAATTACTAAATTTGTTTAAAAAAATGTTTTTTTTTTTTAAGATTTTACTCAAAAAAGTCYCTAAATTGTGTTCAAAAGTACATTATTTTGGCCTTTTGGATAGTACGTTTTTCAGAAACAAAACTATTTTGCAAAATTTCGTTAAAAACAAACCAAAAATTTACAAAATTAGGCCAAAACTGGCGCTAATTTTGCATTTTTTAATTTTTTTGATGTAAATACAAAGTTAAAAAAAAATTGTTAAAACTGACTAAAATTTACCAAATTAGGTTGAAATTGATATAATTTTAGCTTGTTTTGCTTAATTGAAACTCATTTATTTTGCATGATTTTGTCAAAACATTTAATTTAGTTCGTTTTTCGTCAAAAAATAAGTCAAAAAACACAAAATTTAGTTAAAACTTCACATTTCTCAAGACTTTAAGCAGGTTTTTGAACTAAATCTCAGTTTTTTGCTAAATTTTGCTAAAACAAACCAAAAAAAAAGCAAATTGTAGATATTTCGCAAAAAAATAAGTCGAAAAATTACTAAATTTGTTAAAAAAATGTTTTTTTTTAAAAGTCGCTAAATTGAGTTCAAAAGTACATTATCTTGGCCTTTTCAAAGCGTTTGGTAGTACGTTTTTCAGAAATAAAACTACCTATTTTACAAAATTTCGTTGAAAACAAACCAAAAATTTACAAAATT